CCATTAAAAATGCAGCTTGCCCATGCTAACTGACTTAGGCTCCTATGGCTCAGGCTAACATCTGTAGGGGACAGAGTTCAGGCTCCAGGTTAAGACTTAAGGTCTACACTGCAATTACACATCTCTTTAGACCAACGTGCCCTAGTCAGCGAGTATGGGCCAGCTGCAGCCTACGCACGTCGTAAGGTGGCACTTACAGTGAAGAAGGCATAGCAGCTATCTGATGAAGGCTCTTGTGCACTGCAAGGCAAAGGGAATTCAACAAAGCTCCACTCCCTCCTCGGCCACTTCTAGTGGCAGAACAGATCAAATTATGAACCTTCACTAGCAACCTGGCCAGCACTTCTCTACCAGCAACTACCAAGCAACTTTCATCCCATCACAAGCCACTGAAGTAGTTCTGGTTCTTCCAGAATGAATTACTGTTATGTAATATCAATCTAAGATTTCTGTGGAACTGTGCTATTAAAAAAAACACCGCCACCCTCCATTCCCCTACTGTACATGAATATGACTTAATTTTACTCCTATTATTGATACACTCATCTAATGATTTTCTTCATTAGCAACATTATTTTTCCTAAGCTGCATTTTTTCAGTATGGTGCTGACTGTAACATCCTATTTCAATCAAATTACAGTGTGTTTTGATCGCTGTCAGATGTTCTATTTATAGAGGAAAGGGTTTGTCACCACAGGACAGTTTCATAAAAGGCCCCTGATAAGCAAGCAGAGACAGTGTCATGAACAGAGTTCTAGGTGAGTTTAGAGGAGTAAAAAAAAAAACCACATTCAGTGCAATGAGCAAATCTCAAATATCTAGGGCCAATGTCTGAAGTCCAGACTTGGGCAAAATGTTCATTGAAGTTAAAAACTTAAATATCTGGCCTTTAGAGGATCTATGTAAATAAGCAGTCAGAAGAGGGAGCACTTACCTGAACTTATTCAAAACCTTATTAGTCTATATAAGATGGGCTAAAAATCTTGTGAAATCTCCAGTATTTACTGTGCAAACCTGCAGTTAATTGGATACGGGCACACTCCTGCATCCATATGAATCACTGGGGATTCAAGAGACACCCCCTCCTCCACCCCCAGTGCCTGCAAGTTGTCAGAGAATTGGAATCTTGGACTGTAAGCTCTTTGGAGCAAAAGCTGTGTCTTCATATATATTTGCCTAGTACAATGGGAACCTAATCCTGACTAAGGCCTCTGGGCACTACCACACTATAACAACTCATAAATAATAGATTTTTCCATCATTCCTGCTATGCAGGCAATAGTGTAAGAACATCTCTCGGCCCCTCCAAAACTAGGAAGTGCAAAAGCATACCAAACCTGATGATAAAAAAGTTATCCAAACTTTTTCAAACTAGAAAAAGTCCCCGTGGGTACACTTCAGATTGACATTTTTATTCCCATAGAGTTGCTGCTTCTTAACGCTATAAGCCTCATCCTGGAGTTGTTATTCGTGAAGTAGTCAAGACAATGTTGCTTATTACACCTGTAAATGCATCTTAATTCAAACCTCAGATTTCTTTGCAGTTGTTCACAGCACCAAAGAATCATTGTTTATTACAATCATGGATGTGTGAAAAATACCAACACTAAATGAGAAAAGGATAGATTAAAAAAAAATGCTTCAAGAGCAGTAGGTTTTCTTTGCAATGACACAACCTGGGCCAGATCTCAGCTGGTGGATAGCAACATAGACCCAGCTGAGCACCTGGAGCCCTATATTTATGAAAAAATCTGTGTATTTCAGTTAAAAAAAATCTGCAGTCATCATCCCCCCAAAACTTTGCTCTTTTCAGCTGCTAAATGCCAGAATCAAAATCAACATGCATTGTGCACACACAGTGATACATGAATGCAAATCTGTTTAAAATTAGCCTTCTTTGCAGAGGCCTCACAAAACTATAACAATAAAGTGGTGCAAGGAAAATGACATCACCAAACAGCAGAGAGGAATAAATGGCAATTGCCCACATTTTTCATCAAGTAATTTCTCACTGATTTCTGCACTAGCAAACCGGTTACATGGAAAGAGCTCTGCATATACAATAGCTTGAAAAGAAAGTACGGTTGAACCTCTCTAGTCCGGCAACCTTGGGACCTGAGCACGGCCAAACCGGAGAATTTGCCAACCCACAGGAGATCAATATTGTCTAGCAGCATTACCAACATTTCCACAGCTTACTGGGCTCTTAGAAGACATTTAGGGGCAAATTAGAGCTAAATAACAACACAGAATACAGAGCCAGGACTGGTGGCTGTAAACTTTATGTGACTGTGGAGAACTTGACCATACCCATGATATGTGGACATCTGGCTCACTATAATTATGCCAGACCATATACGTTGCCAGACCAGAGAATGCTGGACCAGAGAGGTTCAACCTGTACTTCTAAAGAAATCCCATGACAGAAAACTTATTGCCACTCACGATCTTTGCTTTGCCTAAAATAAGCAGTTTTACACAGCAGGATAATAGGTTCCACTTTTTGCAAAAGCAACTGTTCTTGCAAATCTGCCCTGTTTGGGTTCCAGCCTACCTCATTAACCATATGTTTGCAAGAACTACTAAGTGCCACATATAAAAAAGCCTTCTGCTGAAAAAGATTAAAACTGTAGTTTTTTAATTTTTTTTTTTTACTTCCATCATGATCTCAAGAAAATTGCTCCATTGTTCTGATAGTACAATTGGGGAATAAAAAACATGCCCTAGTAGAGTGTTCCATTGTTTCAGGGCATTTCCTTTTCTGTACCTCTAAATCCCCATTTTTAGAGTCCCGCTTACTTTTCTGTTGAACCGAACATCCAGAATGGTTTCAGAGGAATAGCATAAGTAAGTAATAGCTGCATCTTCTGATCTATGATGCAAAAGCCTGATACTAAAAACTGAAACAAGAATTTAGATTGAAATCTCTGCCTGAATGTTGATTCTTATTGACTACTATAATCACTGCATTTGTGTGCTCTTTATCTATTATCAACATTAAACCACATAGGACCATAAGTGATCATGTGCCACTCAAATCTATCTCTAAGTTTGGTGAGGGGGGAAGAGGAAGGTTTCTGTAGTTACACTGATCACATGTGACATTCAAATGTCAACTTCAACATTTTATTCATACCTTGACAAATTTCAGTGGGAAGTAAAATCCAATTTTAAATCACAAGCTATTTATTGAAGTTCATATTTTATACATATGCAAGCGTTGCTTTTTTTTGTTAAGATGACCGATTTTTGGAGGGGAGGGGAGAGCCCACATCCTTGGTTGCAGCTTCAGCTCTATCCCTTTCATCTTTGCCCAAAAATATTTGTATTTTATGAAATATGGAAGTGTGTGAGGATTCCCTTTACCTCATTTTAACTAACATACATTGGTGGCCATTGACTCCCTCGTAAAGTACTTCCCTCGGAAGACCATTTAAGATGAAAAATTGCATCTGGAAAAGTTGGCTCTCTGTAAAACCCCCTTTTTAAATTCAATACCAGTGTAATTTACTAAAGAATGTACAATTTTAAGATAAAGTACAATTATTGATCTGAATTGCACTTGACTGATACTGAATATTTCTTCAGTCTACCTATGAAATCTAAAGGGATGCAGGGATAATTATTGAATCACAACACAAAGACACAAAAGGGAATTGCAAGATATTTGAAAGAATATTGGAGTGATTCACAGTGATTGGGAGTGACAAATATTAAACAGACGTGAAGATGAGTAAGACAGCCTAACACACACACATATTTCATCTACATTCAAATCTCTGGTAAGCCTACAACTTCACTCCCTGAATTCTGACCCATTTCTTCTCACACATGCCTGCATCTGTCCTGTTCAAACGTATTAAATATGAACACTCACCTTTGTTTAGATCTGGGAGCACAACTTCTCATTTTAAGTCTATCACGAATAGCAGTGTTATCTGGAGATTTTATGGCAAGATGCTAGGAATAAGTGGTTGGACAGATGTCCCTGATACACACTGGCAAATAAGCAGTGATTGGTAGCATTGAATCTTTTTTTTTCTCTCTTTACACTTCCACCATGCTCCAGGGACACAGAAGTTTACTGAGTACTTCTTAAACATAGCAGACAAATGTCACTATTGTTTGTTGATCAACATCAGGAAGCTAGAAACTGTGTGTCAATAGCGGTATCATTTGAATATGCCTGTGCCTAAGATACCTACTCTGTACACAATAACTTTCCATCAGTGAATAATGTGACAGTAGGATAGAGTGTTGTAGCTTTACCTTCCCCTGATGCACATGCTATGTCTCCGGCACTGTGAACACACACTATATCCTAGGAAATTTCTCTCTCAGAATGCTGCATAGTCAGCCCTGATTCTAACCTGCAATATACAATATTCACATTTTATCCATGGTCTATTGTACTCACACAGTAGAGAGTAATGTTTCTAGATTGCCAGAACTTTTTAACATGTTTCCAAGCACCCTGCAGCCACTGCAGCATCTTTGCTGTGTTTAAGATGAAAAACGATAAACCTTAAAATAGGTTATGGTCACAATGCAAAATCCTCACTGCTGCAAGACTGTTCTAATGTTTGTTTTTTATTTTAGCATTCTAATGGGGAAAATGTTTATTATGCTCTCAATTTCTGCTCTTTGGCGCTCTGATTTGCACTGGAACACAACCCCCTAGTTACAACTGCACTGTATAGCAAGCTTGTTTCTGTGAAACATTTTGTTTCATCACAAAAGATTCAGATCACTATAGAGCAATCAGCTTCTCCATGAAAAAAGGTAAGGGCACAAATAAACTGGAGTACCCGAGTATAACTCAATCTCTCAAAGTATCTGGGGTTGAGGTGGGGGAAATGGAATAATCTGAGGACTATACTTCGAACTTACAACCATGGAAGAAGCTGGATTCTCTGTGATTTAAGAGAGAAGAATGAATCTTAAAGACAAACAGCCAACAAATCAAGAGAACTCCAAGTAAAATAGCTTTCTGTACTCACCTAGTGCTGAAAACTAGAACAGGGAAAAGAGGCAGCAAGTAACAAGCTGAGATTAATTTCATATTGTAGATTGTCTCCCTCCCCTTTCCTTTCCTTTTCTGTCTCCTCTTCTTTCTCTCTCAGTGCTTCTGATTTCCACAGCTCTTTTGCTCAGAGCAGCATACTCCGGTGTGCAAAAGGTCTGTAGATCTGGAAAAAAGGAGACAGACCAACAGACTGACTAATGAAGGGAGCTTAGAGTGAGGTTTGAGCTTCAGGAGTGATGTCACAGGCAATGGAGCTGCTGCTGCAAGCCTACTGCCTGATAGGCTGTGATTATTCAACACAGTGACTCTATTGAAGTCCTGAAGGATTTGTTATAACTAGCGGTTTAAGTGGCAACCAGGGAGGGAGAACACATTGGATGGCAGTTAACTCTAAGGTTATAAGAGTGCATATCTGACTTGTAGATTTTGCCTGAAACGGGGAAAAAATAATATGTAAAAAAAAAACCTCTATTATAGGTATAAGTTGTATAGCTTAGCAGAAGAGGATCTGTACAAAGTTTTTTGTAGAAAAGTAGGTTCTACTTATTTAAAGTAACAGAATCAACCTGATGCATCCTGCCTAGAAAAATGTTTCTTTGCAATGTAGGAATTAAACTGTATTGTTCTAATTTGAAATTCATACAGTCAGGGCTTCCTGCTAGTATTAAAATGAGAGGAGCAGAAATAGATTTGTGTATTTTAAAATGCGAAAGTCATCTTTACAAACCTTAATTGCCACGAGACACTGGTAAGAGACTTCAGATTTATATTTTGGTGAGTTTTGTTTTGTTTTTGTCTCTGTGTTTATGGACTTTCTGATTGTGATTTAAATAAGACAGTGGTTGATAGCAGTGCTTCCAGATTTTAATCTGCTATTTCCTCTTGGAGTTAAATTTGTCAGATTTAGAGAATGACAGCTCTCACTTTCTCTTCTCAAATAATGTGTGTCAAAAATAAATGGTCCTAAATGTCCTTACCCTGCAGGGGATACAAACTACAGTTCATGACAGATAATAAATGTTCTGAGTTTAAAGTATGATGGAAATGTGGGATTTAAAACATATAGTTTTATGTAAGGAAAAGAGCTTTTTCTGCAAAGTGAACAAGGCAGCCATGGTTAGGAGGAAAGGGAGTGCAAGTTGTTTCTATGCTTAATTGCTCATGTAAAAGAAGTCTGAGATTAAATAAGAACATAAAAAATAGTTCAATAATACATTATGGAGGCAAGCTTTCAGATTTTAACCTATGTTTCTATTGCTCCCTATTGGGTAGAATGAGAGACATCTGAATACCATTACAGTAATTACAGATACACTAACTGCAGCGACTGGGAGCTCCCTCTGGGGAATTAGTAAGATTTTCCCAACACACACAAACAAAACCAATATACTTCAAGTCACTTCTGAAGTGTGTGTCAGTTGAGAAATAAAATGATAGCATACATCACTAAAAAAATAGGAATGCTGACCTCTTCCCCTGTAAGTTTTTCCTAGCAGTAGCATGCTGGTTCAGTATGATGGGTAAGTTAGTTCAGCATGATTCTCCACAGCTAAAGCACTTATATTAATTTGAAGGAGGGGTTTTTTTTGTTGTTTTCCCACATTATACACAACACCAAAGAGAATCATGTTGCCATGGTTACATATTATTGGATAGTAAAAAGGTCATAAAAAGTGTGGCCTCCCTGTCAGTTTCTCAGCCCAGAAAATGCCAAACTTTCCAGGCTATCAGGCACCTCAACCCCAGTCATATGCCAACAGTTTAATCTTTCCCTCATCCCCTTCCATGCATACAAAGTTGCCTGGTGAAAGGGCAATGGAAAGGGCATCAGGAGAATGTACCAAAGCCAGGTGAGTTTGGAATGAGCTTCGCAATCACATGCAGTTCTACAACCTGAAAAATTTTCTAAATTCTGTTACTATTTTCCCTCTTCACAGAAGTTTTTTCTTTTGTGGGAAATTAGTGCCAGAATCCTCCTTTTTCCCCTGACGTTCTGTCCATGCAGACATAAGGTCTCAAATCCACTCCAAATCCAGTGCATCAGTATAGGACAGAGATGATATTGTATAGCTGCTCTGAAGTATTGTAAGTGACCATCATTCCATCACTGTGCTCAACGCTCTGACTTGCATTTGCTATATTCTAACCAATCAAAACTACTGAAAGCAAAGATGCAAGAAAACATTCTCTGTCTGATTAATGATATATTTGTGCAGTGCCATGCATAGCAGGGACTCGCCCTTTTACCACACAAATAAATAAGTAATGACTCCATGAAGGTATTTTCCTGGATGATTTAGTCAGATTAACCAACAATATTAAACAGCTCTATCCTCTTAAGCAGTGAGAGGTCATGTGAAGCAGACTAACTGGTGCAGGCAGTGCTTGCATCCCGATAGCAAAGCAGACATCAGATATGTTTGAGAGGGAGGGAAGGAGAATGAGCCCTTGTTGAATGATCCAAGAAATCTTTGGGCATCTGGAGAAGAAAGACATCCCTCCTCCCACACCATAGCACCCATACGTAAACAGCATCTGGTGTATTTACTTATACCTATTCTGCACCAATTTGAGAACTCTTGAGTGTGTAGGCCCCCAACACATACTCCCCATGATTCCCATCCACTCAGAGTGTTTTGAAGAAGGCCCCACGCCCCAAATACAGCTTTGGGGATGAAGGCATCTCCCAGCACATCCAGAAGTATTCTGTGTGTATATATACACATATACACACACAAGATTGATAGCTAGATTGTGCTGCACAAAACTAAAGCCTCCAAGCAGCAAGGGCATCACAGGAGCAGCTAATGCATACTTGCAGGCCAGTGTCTCCCTAAAAAACAGCATTTGCTCACACATTAAATGGTTAACTATGAATATAAGTGCCCAGCTGTAAATGCAAGTGAGAGCACAAGAGAATCTACATTTTTGCAAGCCAATCCCTTGTGCTATCCTTGAAAAATTTTGGATACTAGTACTTAGATGCTGGCATTACAAGCAGTGTTCTGCATAACATTCTTGATTTAAGCCATGTAAAATGTGGAGAACTGACCTTGTTTTTGCACCTTTTATTGTGAGATATATATCTTTTAAAACTTGTCATTTTAACAGTACTGTTGATTTCTTAAAATGATGAACAGCTATTTTTCTAAAATAAATTGTAGATCATTTCTGATTTTCATTTGATTTATAAAACTATAATTTATATGATTCTTTTGCATGTTGAAAATGTTTCCAAATAATTATTAAACTTATAACAATTTAATTAATTAAAAACTATTGGGGGGAAATGCTAAGAAATCTTCCCTTTACAAATCAAGGATTGCTGGTCCATGGTTGGAATTATGCACAGACTTATTAAATAAAATAATTGCAATCAGTCTGGCGAGTTAAACTTCTTATTATATGGGTCCTTGCCAATAGTCACATGCCCTGAATATAAAATAACTGAACAGGAAACAACTGTTCTGGTGCTACACAAAATTTCTAGGAATGCTATAATTGTATTTGTGTAACATCTATGAGACTAATTATCACACCATTTTTTGCAGGCTTGGTAACATACACTGACATTTTGGAAGCACCATTCCATACTTTGTAAGACTCTTTTGATGGGTGGTCAAATCTAGAGACCCCTTTTTGTAAATAGCATAAACACATCTTTCCCAGAAAGATGTCTATCAGAAATACATCTGCATGTGCATGAGTTTTTGCATTATTAGTACAATGAATGAAGTGTATCCTTTGAAAAGGATCCTTTGAGAAACTGTCACAGTAAGAGAGAATATATCAGCTTTGTACACATTCTGGTAACACACTTTGCTGCAGAATATTTATCTCAAATGATTAGTTCTACTGTTCATTGGCATTACCGTGCAAATTTCATGAGAGAGTAAAATATACCACCTTGTTCTTATCAGTAGATTAAGAAGCTTTACTAAAGGAGGTCAGTATCACTATCCCAATTTTACATCTGGGGGAAACTGAGGGACAGTGGGCTGATGGCAGTCACAGTCTAAAGCTCTGTCCACTATGAGAAACTGCCTCACATGGACCATGTTACCAGAAAGTCAGCTAATATAGCTATTACACAGCTTCAAATAGATCCCTCTTTCTGACAAAGACAGGCATGGAGAACTATGCAAACTAGTAGCAAAGCCAGTAATAATTATAAAACCCTTCAAATAATAGCTGGTTAATGAGTCTCTTTAAATCACAGAGCAAATGAAAGGACAGAAGTTTGGATGAATTTAGTTGGGATTTTTATCATCCATCTGATTTAATGTTCATTAATGATCTCTAACTAGAATTAACTGACATTCTTAATTCTGGTCAATTTATATGGCACAGTTTGAAGTTGTTTTGCATTCTTGACTAGAACGTAGTATTCTGTAAGTCTTTGCTCCCATGCAAAAAGGATTGATTTAATGGGCACTATGGTTGACAAAAAGCCAGGTTCATCACAGTGGACACATGAAACAGTGTAGCTTACCTGTGCTTCATGACACATTTATAGAGCATTGCTATGTCAGCTAGTTTCTCAGGGGACAGTAGCAGCTAATTATAAGTGACTGCAAACATCAAGAACTGGATTTTGTTAGCATATGTTGCAAATTCTTGTCCTTTTTTTTCTATCCATCAGCAGCCCTAGATTTCTTTCAGCAGTTCATTTTGTCACTTTCTGTCCATTAGTCTAATTATAGGACTCTTTGGTGTTGCAAACTCCTCGCGTTTACAGTCTAATACTGCAGTGACCTAAATGCTTTCTGTGCAGTGCAAAGTACTCCCAGCCCCCACTGAAGTCAATAGGTATAGTCAAATGGAGGCCCCCTGAGATGCCACCCTCAGCATCATTGAGGAACTGTGTTAATGTAGTGCTTTGTTTAAATCATTAATAAAGGTGATCACTAGATGCCCCACCCATTCAATGTGTTGCCATTAGTCACTATTACCTTGGTCACCCTTCAGACAGTTTTCCTTTTATGTAACAGTACTCACATTCAAGGCAATCTGATCTGATTGAGGTTAAGCATCTGAGACACAGTGTCAGATGCTTTAATACAACCCAAATATAGTCCATCTATGTGTTCCCTTAATCTAATAGTTTTGTAATTCTATCAAAAAGCAATCAAGTTTACCAGGTTTTATAAACCACGATGCAGCATTTTTTCCCCCAACAAAGGCCAGATTCATGGCAGGCATAAGCAAGTATAACACCATCAGTGGGATATGTTCTTCCATAC